AGTGTTTGATTTAGAAAATATAATAAATTAAGTACATTCATTCATAAATATAAAACCAACAATGTATTGATTTATTAACAATGAAATATTCATGACTTAAGAGTCCAACAAAGAAATGACAAAATGATTATGATAATAACCTTGATTATCTTTGGATTAATTAAAGGATTATTTTATTTAATAGTTCAAAATTAAAAAGTATTCAAAAGAAATGATAAAAGAATCAACAAAGTTCGATTTTATTATATTAAATGGTTATATTTCTTATCGTTCTTCTTGGATGGTTCAATGAGTAACATTTCATTGTTCATGTTATTTGAATATTGTATTAGCAGAGAATTTAAATAAAGAATAAGAATGATTCAGTATCATTAATCATCAATTTCTCGAATGTTTGTACGACATTAAAATGATGAATTTTGATAGTTGTTATATTAATTTATAAATACATTTCAACAAATAAATGATGAATATGATATGAATATATTTACAGAGTAAATGGAAATAATACATAGAATATATTTTATGAATAATAATAATGTTGTTATGATATTAAAGAATATAGAATGATAATAATAAAGAACAAAAGAACGAAGAAAAATAATAATAGTAATGAAATTAACGATAAAATAGAAGAGAATAATGATAAATGAAATATAACATCAAATAAGAAAAAATGTCATAATTTTATAATTAAAATTTATCATAATTTCTATTGACATTTGTATTATCAATATTAATTGTTTCTTCTTCTTTTCTTTATTTTGTATTATTATTTTAGAATTTTGATTTGACATTTGTTTATCCAACAGAAATGATTGGATATAGTGAACTTGAAGGACAGATGAAAGAAATCAACTGTGAAGTTATTGGAGTGAGTGTGTATTCCATTTATTGTCATCAAGCATGGTGTGAAGCAGATAAAAGTAAAGGAGGAGTATGAAAGTTGACATTTCCATTAGTATCAGATATTAAGAGCTGCATTTCTATCAAATATGGAATGTTAAATGTCGAAGCAGGAATTGCAAGAAGAGGATATATTTTATCGTTATATTTATAACTTTGTTTTATAGTCTGTGTCATTTTATATTTACATTATCATGGTTGACTTGAAACACAAAACCAAATAAATTATTATCAACAAATGATGTGTTTGAGTTTTAATACAAAAATGTTGATAATAATTAATATATTCATCAAATAATAAATTCTAATAAGACTAAATAAATATTTGTTCATGTTATTACTATTTATTCGTATTCTTGTTTTATTCATTTGAATCATTTTATGATAAAGTCGGAATAAGAAACAAGTTAAAATGAATAATCAATAAATGATGAATATATTCTTAAAATAATAATGATTTGAATTATGAATTGAAATTATTATTCATTTCATTCATTATTGTTGTTATTGTTTATGATTTATTTATTAAATTGAATGTTTATTTAATTTTGTTGATTAAAATACAAAAATGACATGAATTTTAATTTAATATTTCATTTCATTCTATTTATTGTTGAATTTCAAAATACAATGATACATCAATATGATGAAATGAAGAATGAAATAATTGAGTCATTAAGAAATAAAATGAAAGTAAAAGATAATAATGAAAAGAAGAGAGTATATTTAAAGAGAAAAACTTACATACATTTCATTCAATGTTTATATTTCTATTGATTATTGTAATTACTAATGCAACAGAAAGTATTAACAATCAAGAAGAAAGAACTAAAGAAATAATACACACACAAATACAATCAAAACAACACAAAAGAATGTTTAATCTACATAAAGTACAATTAAAAGGTGAAGTAACAAAAGAACCAGAAGAAACACCAACAGGTGTAAAGGATGTGTCATCACAAACGATAAATACTGGAACAGGAGGAATAACCACATCAACAAATCCATCAGGGCAAGCTACAGACACAACAAACTCAAAAAGTAAAACAGATAAAAATACAGAAGAAAATACACCATCACCAAATGAACAAAACACAAAAGGTGCAACAGGACAAGAGAAAAATCCAGTGTCACAACCTCAAGCTGAACAAAAACCAGTAACACCAAATACGACAGGAGAGAAAGGACAAGAACATGATTCAACAACAGGACAAGGAGCAGAAAGTGGAGCAAGTAATACAGGAAAAGAGACAAATAAACCCAATTCAAATGGAGAAGATAATACAGGTAAAACAAAATCACCAAGTGAAACAAAGCAAAAAACAGAGTCAACAACTGGAGAAGGAATAGATGAAACAAGTAACACAGATGGACAAAATCCAAAAGCATCAACAAGCACCACTGAAGGAGGAGACAAAAATGAAGCAACTCATGGTAACAATGAACAAGAAACAGGAACAAGTGGAGCTGGAGGAGAAGAAGGACAAAAGCAAGATGAACAACATGACAAAGGAACGAATGACTCAACTAATGAACAAGGAAAAGAGCAAAACAATAAAGGTGCAACAACAGATGGAAATGGTGAACCAGCAACAAACAATAATAACAAAGGAGAAGAAGGAAAAAAAGAAGAAAAAGTAAAACCAAAAAATGAAACAACCCCAGATGAAAAAGATACAAAAACAAAGAATGACAAAGATGAAAAGAATAATAGTGAAACAGGAACTTCAGATAATACAAAGAATAAATCAAATGAAAAACAACAAACAACTTCAAATGATAAACAAAATAATACCACAAATACTAATTCTGAAAATAAAACGAATGAAAAATCAAATAATAACCATGATGAACAAAATGAACAACATAATATTGATAATGCTTCAAGTATTTTCATTCTTCTATCTACATTCACTCTAACTTTGTTATTTTAATTGATTTTATTTATTAATAACGTTGTTTTATTATCATAATAATAACTAAAATACGAATTACAACATTATTTAAATATGATTCAAGTTCAAATAAATCACACCAATTATTATAATTCATTCATTATGAAGTATTTATTAAATAAAATGAATTGAATAATTATATAATTAATCAATAAATAAGAAATACAATAAAATAACAAATAAATAAACATTTACATTAAAATAGAAGAAGAAAAAGAAAAAGAAATAGAAAAACTAATAAAAAGAAAGGAAAAAGATGATGAATAATAAAAGAATATCAAAGAAGAAATTATAAAACAAAAATAGAAAGATGATGAATAAAAGAAAAAAGAATTAAATCATGAATTACTTAATATTTAGTATTTCATCTATTGAGTAATGAATGTTTCATTTTCTTCATCATGTTTTATTTCTTTCATTTTAATGTATTTTCAAACACTATCAAATTAAATGAAGAATCATTTAAATTATTATTATTATTTTAATGATTATTAAAATGTTTCATTCTTTATATTGTTATTTTAAGAAGAATATGTCAATAACACATTATTTATGTTTCTTCTTCATTATCAATATACACTTATCAATCACTTTTTCTTGATACAATTAATCTATTTGTAGTTTATAATGATTATTATTAAATATACTTCTATCTTGTTAATTAATACTTCATCATATTAAATAACCAATATTATACCATATTAAATATTATGCAATAATACAACATTCTTAATCATTATTTCATAATATTCACTTATATTAAATTTTAATAATTATCAACTAATTAGTCTTGAATGAATAATATCTCACAAATTACAGCATCATAATTAAATAATAACTGATATTTCATTACTTGATTATTTATTATTGTTTGTATTTGTTTCTAATTTTCATTCTTCATTTCTCATTCATTTTCATTTAATAAAATAGATTAATGAAAAATAATAGAATAAAGAAATAAAATAAGAATGAATAAGAAATAATAATATAAATAAAGAATAAGAAATAATAACATAAATATGTTGATGTATTTTATCTTTTCTTTATTTGTTTCTTATTATTATTTCTATTATCTTATTCATTTGATTCATAATGAATTAATTCAATGCGATGATACAAATAATTTGTTTATTTATTTTATTTCTCTTTCATTCTTATTTCTTTTATTATTTATTAAAAACACATTGGGTGTGAATATTTCAAATGAAATTAAATAAATCAACATTGAATTATGTCAATTTTTAATTCACCATTTCATTCATTGGCAGATGAAATGTTCATATTCTTCATTAATTTGTTTTTTATTCTTGTTTAGTTCATTTTCAATTAATCAAGATTGAATCATTTCATTTCAATTACTATGATTCGTTTTGGTGTGAAATGATTTGGATGTTGTTTTCCACAAAGTGCATTTGATATTCCTTCATATTCAAATGAATATTGATTACAATATGATTGTGTTTTATTATTTTCTTTACAAACAAGAATATCACTATATCCATGTCCAAATTCAAACAGACGATCATCTGATTGATTAAATAAACAAAATGCATTTTGTGGTATTTCAATATCAAATTTTATCATTCCTTTCATTCTTCCTTTTGATTCTAATGAAAATAAAAATGAGTTTGAATCATTTGTATAATAACCATCTTCATTAATTTTCTCATTAACATATCCTCCAAATTTATTTCCTTCTGAATCTTCAATAATAATTATTATATATTCTTTATTCCTTATTCTTTGATCAAATACTGATGTATTTTTATTCCAATCATCTTTATCTGAATCAAATAGTATATTTGATATTTTTCTATTTGTCCATTCTTCTATTTGTTTTATATATTTATCAAGTGTTCTTTCTATTGGAGAAATAATTGCAACAATGTGTGGTTGTTCTTTTATTGCAACATTGCGTGGTTGTTTTGCTAAAGTGTTGTAGGGTTGTTCTTCTATTGGATTGTTGTTGGTTGAATTGTTGTTTTCTTTCTTGTTATTTTCTATTTCATCTTTTATCTTCTGAAGATATTTCTTTGTAAATTCCTCTTTTATCAATTCTTTTATAACTTCATCATTAATTGTGCAATCATTGTTTGTTTTCTTCATTTTCTCAATTAAATACCTCTGTACTTTTATATTTAATGTATTGCTTTCTATTTGAATTTCATGACTTTCAAGTTCTTTTCTTGTTTTTTCATTCTCTTCTTTTATTCTTCTTAGTTGTTCACTAACTGCTTCTTCACTCTCATTGACAGTATTAGAAATCTTTTGCATTATTGTGTTTTTTGTTAACATTAATTTTATGTTAGTCTCTAAGCTACTAATTCTTAATTCTTGTTTTTGTATTGTCTTTTCTAACTCTGTACGGTGTTTGCATAATGAACAAGCTCTTCAACTGCTTGTGTTACTGTTTTGATATTTTCTTGGTTTTCCATTGTGTTGGTGTGTGTTTTATATTTAAATTAAAACTAATAATTTTATTTATATATTAATAGTTCATAAACTATTAATTATAGTTTTTTAATTATTTTAATAATATCAATTAAAAATAGAATTGGTTTATTGAAATTGGAATTATTTGGATTTTAACTTTTATTCTTTTTTTTTATTAAGTCTAAAATGAAAATGTATTAAATTGTGTTTCAAGATATATTGATTATTCTACTCCATTTTCTTCAGTTGAGACAATTTCATTCAATTGAAAAGACTGTTTATAATGTATTTTTACATTAATTCACTTTACATCATTTATTCTGTTATTATTTCATTATTATTTTATGTTCATTATTTGTTATATTTTGTATTATAATTTCAAATTGTTTTACAATACCTTGCTCATTTATTATTTCTATTTGTTTTATATTCGATATAAATGTTAGCTTTTTATAAATATTCACTTTTATTGATGATTTATTATTCCAATTCTTTGATTATTTCTTTATTTTCTATTCTTCTTTTGTTTTAATTATTTTTATTGTTATTGTTGTTTATTTTGCCAATGAAAAAAGAAAATAATAGAAAAAAGAATAAAAATAAAGTATAAAGTATAAAGTAGATAAAAAGTAATAAATCACAAAGATGTAATAAAATAATAAAAGAAGAAATAAAAAGTGTATTTTTATTGTAAAAATTAGAAATATTCAATAATAAGTGTCTAATTTAATTGTGTAAAATAATTAATATTATTTTATTGATGAAAAATATTTTATTATTTTTATGTTTATTATTTATGTGTATAATTTCATTATGATGTTTATTATATAATCAAACATAAGTGTTATGTTATTATAACATGTAATAAGTGATAAAATATAAATGAAAATGATATGAATATATAACATAGATAGAATATAAAACAAAAGAATAATAAGAATAAATGATAAATAAAAGGAGAAATGATAATAAATGATATAATAATAAAATCAAAATATAAAATATAAAAATAATATTAATATAAAACAAAAGAGAATAAATATAAATCGAAAATAGATATAAATGATAATAATATAAAAGATGAATAAAGTGAATAAACAAATACATCTAAATATAAAAGAATAACAAGAAGAAAATCTAAATAATATAAACATAAAAATAATAAAATAAGAAAAATATAATAATATATAGATAATAATAAGAATACAATGATATAAATAATATAATAAAAGAAATAAATAACATAATAATAAAAGAATAAAAAAGAATAAAAAATAAAAATAAATATGAATAATCAAATCATTTATTTCATTAATATTTCATACAAAATGACTACAAGTGATTATAAAATATAAACATAAATATTTATTGATTGTGTATTTATCATACTTTTT